TTTTTACTTCAGCAGAGGCATTATTTTGAGTAAACATATTTGCTTTCATCTCAAAAAATTAAGATCTTTTGTTTTAAAAGCTTTGAAGGCTTTTTTATCTTCTAACAAATAGTTTTTTCTTCATTACAAATCAACCAAGGAAGGTTTCTTTGCAAAAATGAGCGAAAAAACTTTTGATTTCCCGCCTTTTTGCTTTCTAATGCCAACAGCCAATCAATGATCGTGTTTTCGTCATGTGACCAAGAAAAAGTCCGCTGACTAATAAMGCGAGCCAGCATACTTAAAATGGCGGTGRGGGTTGTGGTWGTTTTTTCTTGCAAAAGAAGGRGRAAAATCAAAAAGTCAGCCAAAATAAGGTATTAATTTTATTTTATAGTTAAGCTTTCAATGTGTAATGTCCATTTTCTAAAATTTAAAAAATTATCAACGCTTTATCCGAATGAAACTTACTAGTTAATTAAAAGTTTTTCTTTTAAAATTTTTTTTCAACACTGAAGCAGAAAGACATCAGCTAAGCACATTATGATTAAAATAAAAAATAATAATAAAACAAATACAAAATGTTTGAGCATTATATTTCACTTGGAGGATTTCAGAAACAGGAGAATAAGTTTCTGGCAGACAGCACCATCTGATAAATGCCATGCATTCTTCAGTTAATTTATTCAATTTTATAAAAATGTATTATCATTATTGCTAATAAATGTTTTAGCTTGTAGTCGTGATCAATTGCAAACCCGGAAATTATTGGGATATATAAGCGGTATTGTTGGAATTGAAGCAACCCATCCCATATTTGCAGAGTGTTATTACCCCTGTAAATTTTAAAAAGTCAAAATTGCATTTAAATTATATATTCCATTCCTGACCCAAGCCACATTATTAGGGCACTGCTGTTTTATATGTTTACATTCAATAAATTAACTAAATTAAAGGTGTTTTTAATAACAACAAGCATGTAGATAAGCATTTCCATAAGCAATAAYATATGCAGGAACTCAGTAAATAATAGTTTCCAGCATAGAATCATATGATATTTTTGGGATCCTATTCCTAACTAGGGAAGCACRGGTGGCGTAGCAGTGAGAGCGCTCACCTCTCACCAATGCGACCTGGGTTCGAGTTCTGCAAGGCTTGTGGTGTTGTTTTGTGAGCAGAGTTGCTTGTTGCTTATTTGTGCTTCTGAGTTTTTTCTGGGTTTACTGGTTTTCCTCCCTCCGCAAAAATCAACTTTTAAATTCCAATTGGAATTCAGTGGATGAAGAGCCACTCTGTGGAAAATGCTACTGTTATCCTTAAGTAGGATTGTAAGCAGGATCGTGCATCCTATGTGAGATC